ATATATATATATCTAAAACACATTGCTGCTGAAATTTACTATTACCAAAACAAGAAACTTATAGTATCTTTTCTAAACACAAAATGTTTATTGTAATTGCCAAGGAAACATTTATAAACAATGCAGATGTCTACTTACCTATCCACATCAATATCAGTTAATTTATGTGACAAACCAGAAAAAAAGCTTAATTTACTACCTTACCTCATATGGTTAGTTTTAAGTTATCAAGTAAGTTATAACAGAACAAACCTCCAAGTTTTTTTTTATGCATTTTTTTTCATTTAACTTGCAATAGGCATATGACAGATTATGATTAACTACTGCTGGATATTAAACTTTTGACAAGATGTTTTACTGAACTCAACTGACTGAGAACTGGCAGATGCCTTCCTTCATGTGCATGTATATATCTCTACCAATATTCCTAAACTGGACATCAATGTTTTCATCATCATCATACCATATAATACTATATTAATAGTTCAACTCTTAAAATATCAACACTTTATATTTGCTAATTGCATTACTGCACTTACAATTCTTAGTCTTCTGAAAATATACTAAAAGTTGAAACCATAAATAATAAACAAATACCTTTTTACAAGACGAAGAATGGTTTGATTATAATGATTTTTTATGTTTCAAAACAAATACCTTAAATTTTATCTTCAACTAAAACACTGTAAGAGTTAAAATCTATTTTTTTATAACTCAAATTTTAGTAAATACTCTAAAAATGTATTTAAAATATGATATAATGAATCAACTTAAAAGTATTTATTTATTGTATAGTCTAGGATTTCATTTTCAAAAACACGGAAAGCCCCAAAAGGTAAATCTGCGTGCATATTTACTCTTACTATAAAGATTCCCATACAAAACCTAAGACTCGGTAAGAGAAACTCCCGCTACTAGTACTAGTTAGAAAATAAAAATTATTTTTTTCTAAGACTTCTCTTGTCGAAACAACTGGTTTTTATTCCAAGTGTAAAACTCTAGCCTAGAAAAAGTAGGTAAAACAACAACTTAGTCCTAGTTATTTACAATAAAACTATTTATTACAAGTACTACCGCTAGCACTACAAGTCTAGTACTACTAACACTATAAGTATAACTTGTAAGTGTAACACTAACAGAAACAACAACGGTTTCAACAAATTCAAGTAAGAAAACAGTACAAAATATAACTAGGACTGGCCTACTTGGTAGTTCTTCAAAAATATCGTCATCGTCGCTAGTCACAGCATCGTTTTCAAATTCTAATTCTACGTCTTTTGTACCATTTCGTTGTCTTTCTGTGTGGAGTTTTGTGAAGTAATTAACGGCATAACTCAGGATATCTATTGGTTTTTCCACGAGAACATTGACTGTAAATTCAAGGAGGATGTCTGTTAACTCTGGAGGAACAGATATTCTATTATCATTGATGTTCATCTGACTCATATTTCTTTTTACACCACGAGCAATCCCTCAAATTAATCATACAGACATCCTTAAGTTATGTTAAAATTTTCTTCAAGCCTTAAGCACAGTATAATTAATATGTCTAACTAAACTACGTGCTTAATTCGTATATAATAAGCAAAACCACATATAACCAGCCAACTTAACTTCACATCTACTGATCTATCAAGTACAGGAAACAAGACTAAATAGCCGTCTGCTAGTGTATTACTAAACAGGGGTGGGAAGAGAACATTACGTCACACGGCCACGTGAACAGTCAACGAATCACCACCAATCTTATAATCATCGAATGAGGGGATTCTTCAGTTAAAGGGCTTTCAACACAGTACTTAATACGTTTGAAGAAAATAAGTTTCGACTATGCATGAACTGAAATAGCTCCTTACTGATCTCCTATGTTCAACTAATCTTAAAATTATAAACTCAACTTACACTGTTGTTCCCTCTCGAACATAATTATTATTTCAAAGTAATGTAGTTATTACAGTGACATAAAACTAATAATATAAATTGTTTATTGTTTATTTGTAACTAAGCACAAAGCTACACAATGGGCTATCTGTGCTCTGCTCACCACGGGTATCGAATCTAGCGTTATACGTCCGCAGACATCCCGCTGTGCCACTGGGGGGAAATAATAGAAATAAACGACGTTATAACACCAAATTGTTGTTTTAATTTAATTAGACACTCAACCTTCTGCTTTACAGCTTCTTCAGGATCTTTCCACTAAAACACAATCTTAAACTGACAGTAAAAAGCTTCAAATGGTTTAAATAATAAATTCTATTCGAATCTTGAACGTGCATTAGTATTTTTCAACAATAAGCTTTACTATTTAATATCTCCATAGCACGTTGTACTAACACACGTTGTATATTCTAACAGAATTTATTATTTAAACTATTTGAAGCTTTGTACTGTCAGTTTCGATTTGTGTTTTAGAGGAAGGCTCGTGAAGAAGCTGAAAAGCGAAACGTTTGGTGTCTAATTAAATAAAAACAACATATTAATATTATAAGGTCATTTATTTCTAATATTAAAACGTTTTCTATACACCAATATACACTACATAAATTAAATAATGACATAAAACTAAGCTTTTTAAATATTTCTGACATATTTATTTCATTTCTATTACCCCTGTATAAGCATAATCGTGTGAATGGCGAAGTGAGATAACTTATTATTGGCTATAAATTCTTTATTCTATCAATAAAGCTTGGCACGAGGGGAAAATAACACAAAAATTATTTATTTATTTATTTTCTGGTGTAAAAGGTGAGAACAAGAAGAAAATCTGTAAACTTGAGAAATGATAAAGTGCGGACAAATCAGTCGTGGAAAAGTACAAGTCAAATAATAATCATTGGTAGATCATTATTTAGCTTTGTACAATTAGTTTCAGTTTGGGTTTTAGTGGAACGCTCCTGAAGAAGCTCTAAAGCGAAATGTTGAATATTTAAAATAGAAGCAGAAAAAAAAATGGATCTTATAAGGTTGTTTATTATTGGTATTGATAAATCATTGTTGGGAAAGCGGGATTTAGGATCGTGGCCAATAGCAACTTGAAGATAAGAAAATATTAGTTTGAAATTGTTGATACACTGACAGAGATTATCTCTGAGGGATAAAAAAAAAAACCTTTAGAAAATGAGGGGAAAGAACTCTCTGGATCGCCTAAGGGCTCCTTAAACTTAATCTGCTGGACATCGACTAATCTGAAGTTTTTCAATGATTACACTAGCATTTAAGTAAAAAGGTTTGGGTAATAAAAGACGTTATGTGATGTAAAGTACAACGATATAAGCATTAATTACATTAGCCTAATAAAGGCCTTAATGACAAATTATAGTCGTTCGTGGTCAAGTTTGAAAGTAGTTAAGATTATAAAAACAATTATTTAATAACATGTGAGAAAAAGAGTCTTTGTATGCAAAATTATTTCAGATACAGTTACGGAAACAATGTACGTATAACAATGTGTAAGAAATTGAGAGAAGGGAAATGACAGATTTATTAAGATTTTCAGAGGGTTTGATTGTTTGTTTTACAGCAAAGCTACATTAGACTATCTTCAGTGTTACCACGAGAACTGAGCCCCAGATTTTAGCGTTATAAGTCCGTAGACTTACTGCTATCCAACCGGAGGACATGTTCAGAGGATGAAAGTCTAGTGTGTAAGAAAAGCAAGCTAAATTATGTTTATAAGAGTGGCGAAGGAAAGGACTCTAGTAGCAGAGATTTAATCAAGGCTGTAACGTTGGTAGTGAAGAGTGCGTTCGGTAGTGGTTTGTTTGTTTGTAATTAGGCACAAAGCTGCACAATGGGCTATCTGTGCTCTGCACACCACGGGTATCGAAACCCGGATTCTAGCGTTGTAAGTCCGCAGACATACTGCTGTGCCACTGGGGGCGCGTTCGGAGGGGAACCAACTGGAAGATAGGTCGCCGATTGTACGATTGACTAACAAAGCAAACTAATGGTTGTCATCATCATCAACGTGGCAGTTCTTTCGGTATTAAATCATCCGAGGCGAAGCCTCGGAAGATTATCGGGGCTGTTTAGAAGCTCTTACGCTCCTCTTCGCCACGCTCTTGGTTAGATTGGGGCGCTGAATTTATACAGCGCATAGGGCGCCATCAAACATCGGTACGACACTGAATGTAACTAATAAGTACATATATTGAAATGCGTTTATTTGGTATAGCGTATTTAAAAAAACAAACAAAAAAACAGTAAACTGAGGACTAGATTTACTTTCTGTGAGCCAAAATTCAAGATGATGAAGAAAGGTTTGATAGTCGAGTAGCAGGAATTAAGGAAGATACCATTTTTCTGGTACATGCCAGAGCTAATAATGGCAGATGTGAGGAGTTATTAATCAAGAGAATAACGACTCTGAAGCTATAAGGATAGAAATAATCGAATAGTTCTGTTGAGTCAGCGAGGTCACGTGACTAGTATCACACCACCTGTTTCTAGAAATATCCTGTTCCTTCATGAATGCCCTAGCATTTACTAGATATGTGTTAGTCTTGTATATATATAAGACGGCCACAACGTGACGGGACAACAGAGGTAATGAGTAATTGAACTGCAGTCAGAGAGAATATTGTTAAGCACTGAGAAGTCATTGAGAATTATAGCGTTTGTTACGAAGCGACTGTTGAAATTAAGTGTACCGTAAAGTTGTATTCGGAAAGAATAAACCAGTTTTATTTAAGAAAGGACTTGTGTCGCTAAAGTTTCGTCGGAACGAATTTACGGAAAATTAACTAACGAACGGAGACGTAACAGTTCTTTCATGCTAAAGGTGAAGGCAAAATATTTTGAACCTATCTGGATCAGAAGATAAGAGGTTTAGGTTTTTGCGACATGAAAATTGAAGGATCGCCGAATGGATCTCAGAAGACATAAGATATATTAAATAGGTAAACTGATAAAAATATAACCTTGATTTATTTTATAGATATTAGAAGTATTTAAATAACTTACTCGAATTAAAGCTTTGGCTGTGGTTAACACGTCGAATGTTAATGGTCTAAATAAGTCTTAATTATTTAAGAATATTATTTTAAAGAGTTTAGAGGTCTTTCTTAGAAATCATGCTAATACAAGTGGTGGGGTAATAGTGTTTGTAGAAAGTTGGGGGAAGATTATTAAATGTTTTTGTTCGAGAAGAAGAGGCACATTTTGAATATTTTTAGCCAAAGAGTTTTCTCGCCTGGTTCGCTCGCACGTTCATGCTTACACCTGCCTCCATGGCCCTCACCCCACTTTAACAACGTTAGACGCATGTGGGAGGGATGTTTATTGCCATTTTTTACAGGTCTCCTGATCCGATTATTAATACCATTAACGATAAAGTACAGATATGTTTGTTCCTTTTTTTTTTAGTAGTATATATTAATGTAAGTATATGAGTGTGTTGGACTAAAGTTTCTTCTACAGTAGGTGTCTGTGACTTGTTGGCGATAAATTCGGTAATAAACGAACAGCACGTGTTCCACTTGTTTTTAAAATAATAGATATATATATGTATTCAAAACAAGTTAAACGCATGTACAAAATTCTTCATACTGTGTAGATCATAGTTGTATCTTAAACACTATACAGTTCTTTTCTTTTTGTCAAAAGTCCATTTAGGCCAATTCAATTGCTTTAGAATCATTTGACAAGCCTATCTATTTTTCTCTCTATTTCCATCACAATAGCATTCATGTATATTTAATTCACTTACGTTGTCGTTGAGTTACCGCGGTTGTATCCTGTACTTCCAATAATCGTCTGCTTTTGCACTTCCAATAGTGGTCTGCCTTTTGTCAAAGTCCACTGAGGCGGGTTCAATTACTTTAGAACACCCTTTAACGAGACAATTTATTCTCTTTATCTTTTCAAAATTGTTGGTCTCACTCTAACATATCAACCGTTAGGTCTTCTACTCCCACGAAGGTTAACTTTACCTTTAACTTTTTTCTGACTGATCTTCTTTTTGGTGCGTCTTTACTTTTTCTTTCTGTTTCCACTCATCTGGTCGCCGTTATTTATACGTCATCTACTTAGACCTTTTAGAAATCTCTATAGCCTTGACATCAATGAATTACAAACACAGTATAAATCAATTAATAATAATACTTGCACTAAACAGTTTTTATGTCTCACATATTGCAATAGAAAAAGATTATTAAACTGGAAAACTGTAATTTTATGGGAATTTGTGATTTTCCTTGCAACATACTGAAACATTTTGTGTATTTATGGAGGACTGTTTTGTCATTCAGCGTGTGAAAAATCCTACTGTTGAGAGAAGTGGCTACTTTAGACTTAATGCTTAATGCTAAGAAAGCCATGATTAGAAATGTGACCGTACAAGAACTATTGAATACAATCCATCATATCATTATTATTTTTATGTTTTAACTAAAAACTGTGCTGAGTAAAGTTTGAACTGAGAGAGATACATTGTGTGATTAATTTAAACTGGAACAAAATATTATGAAAAATGGGATATCTGAGATCAAACGAAAAGTTTTTTTTTTCTTTTAAGTGGATGAATTGGAGAATTAAATCATAATACATGAAAGCTGCCAAACTTAAAACAATACGAAATTTAAGAGCGGAATGAAGGTTTTTAATCTTTTTATGAAATAACAAAAAGAAAGTTAAAAAAAGTGATTAACTGATTGT